GAAGAGCTGTCCCTTCCCTTCCCTACACCTGCTCCTGCTGCCTACTTCTATATCCCTCCCCAAACATGAAAACCCTCTTCCCCTGCATCCTTCAAGCAGTTTAGACCCATGCAGGGAGGACATGCAAGACAAGCTGTGACCTTCCCCTCCTGCCTTCCCTGTGCAGAAGACACCCTGATACTGTGAAGCTGGGGCAGGAGCTGAAATGAGTAACCCTAAAGCAGAGCCCTAGGAATGGCAGCCCTGAGTGCATTGCTGAGCAGCTGCTGCTGCATAAATGGGGCCAGGAAAAACTTTATCTTCAGGTGCAGGAGTCAACAGGGCAACAATCAGCAGGGAGGTTTACCCTGGCAAGGCATAGGGAAACAACCTTGGGAAAACATTTTCAGATTAAGGGCTAGGTCCAGGAAGGGTCACAGCCACCTGCTTTCAGGAACTGAATCTAGGCAGGGGTGGGAAGGAGGCTGATCTCTCAGCTGCCAGTGTGGAGGAGAGGGGGGAGTCCTGCAGAGCCATCCCATCTGCCCCATCCCTCTTGGGAGCAGCTGAACATCTCCACTGCACCACACTCAGGCATGGCAGTTAGGGGACAGGGTAGGGAAGCCCAGGATATGAATGGAGTGGTGCTAGATGCTTGTTGGGAGTATCAGTGTGTTGGCTCCAAAAAGTGCTTAAGCAGATAAACAATGAGAAATGCTGTGTCTTATTTCCTGCCTACATGCTTAAAATCTTGCCACTATAAGCATGCTGGAGAGGTGAAGCTTAGAAGCTGTTTCCATGGAATGAGGATACAGCTTTTCTGGGGTTTGCAGAGGCTCTGGTGAGTCTGTGCTCCTGCAGTGGCATCAGCAGAGGAAGGGATCCATGAGGGTACCCTCATCAGGGAAGCAGTTCTCCATCCTGCCCTGCTTCTGCCCCCTTTGCCTCAGTGTGCTTCAGTTGTTCCTGCAGCCTGGGCTTGGGATGGCACTTGCAGAGCCACTTTATCGAGGTGTGGAAGGGCAGTGAGATGAGAGGATCAGACTGGGAGTGTTTCCCTTCGTCCAGGAGCACCAGCCTTTGGGGAAACTGAGGCAGAGACAGGCACTGGCCGGGAGGACTGCTATGATCATGGGAAGGGTCATGAGCTGCTTTCAGCAGTGAAGGCAAAACTTCCCTTGTCCCCAGAATGAAGGCTTGGAGCTGGGTGCCACCTGCCACAGGAAGAGAGGGCAGGGCATGGGAAGCACTGCCCATGCCTGGCTGTGGCCCTGTGCCTTCCACATCTCCTGCTCCCTGGATGTGTTGGAGGCACATACACAATGGCATGGCTCTCCTCTTGTGTCTGCCTCCTGTGTGGTTAAGGTGTTCACCTGAGCCATGGTTTCACTCACATTATAGGTGCTACTGTCAGCTCTGTCCAAGCATCCGGTATCAGGATGCTCTTCTCCAGATCCTGGCTCTGGCATGCAGCAGTGATGATCCTGGCAGGGTGAAAACTCAGGGCTGAGACAGCTCCTGCAAGCACATAACCTAGTGATGGGCTCCCAGGAAAATAAAAAAAAAAGGACCCTGATCTACTTCCTCTTTTTTACTTTCAATGGAGCACTGCACTCCTGTCCTCAGTTTCTGAAAACACTTAGCTTTAATGGGGAGCTCATCCAGCCCTTTCTCAGCTGACTCCATGCATATAAAAATCATCAGTCATGAGAATGGCTTGGAAAAGGAATTCTGATGCATGTTGTTTACTCATGTGATAGCACTGTTTCACTTCAGCTGCTGCGTGTGCTTGTGCCAAAATGAGCCATGATCTGCTCACTGCTGGCTCAGGAGTGTGGTTGGCAAATCACATGTCCTGTCTGTGAGCAGATGTGCCGTATGCCTTGAGGACAGGGGTGAATTTTCTTCTGGTTTTTTTTTTTTTTAAATCTTAGAAGAGGACTGCAATCACCTGTGGATGGCAGAGTATTTATCCACTGCCCCACACGAGCAGGCAAAGCCAAGACCCTGCGTCAGAGGCTGTAATAAACGTGAGCCTCAAATAACCATGTTTCCAGGGTAGCAGGGCTTTAGAGGGAACTGCAAATATTGTGAGACTGGCAATCAAATTGCAAGAGTTGATTTCCCTGTATTCACAGCGAAAAAATAACTCTGATTTATTTGGAATCATTAATTCATTACTTAGATGCTTTCTGCCTAGTGAATCATGGAGAAGTGACATTTTGCAGGGGGAAAAATAAGAAAATTATAGCAGAGGTGCATTGAGTCATTTGTTGGAGATGAGAATTACAGGTTGCTGCTTAAAAAGTGACCATTTGATTTTTACCATGACCCAGAGGTGTCTGGGCAGGATCTGGGAGGGGTTGACAGCCCTGGCAGCACTCCCTGCACTCCCACCCAGCCTTGGTGGCCAAGTACCAACATGCTCAAACAAAAGCTGGCTTAAAAACAGGATTTTCAATACACACTGCATGTTTTATCCATGTCAGTCGAGGAACATTGTAATTTTGAAGTCTACATGGGCCTTGTGTCACCATTTTTTTGGCATGGCCATCACAGAACTGATAGAGTCAACTGAAGCTGTTCATTCGGTGATTTGCTGCCTGTTGAAGGTTCACCATGTCCCTCGTATCAAACAGAATTAATGATTAGTATCCAGACTAAGCACCAGATGATCACAGTAAATAATTCTCTTTGTAAGCAATGTTTTACTGCAGGAGCAGTGAGATTTCTTTTTTCTTTTCGTTTCCCCCCAGGAGGTGACTGAAAGGCATTCAGTTTTATTTTCAGCCCTTGCAGGGGCTGAGGGAGCAGATGAGAGGCTGCCTTGGCCCTGCTGCCTTTCCTGCTGCTAGTGGGGAGGCTTTTCCCTCAGCCTTTGGCCCCTGCACCCCCAAATGTGCCCAAGTATCATGTTGGCCTCAGTCAGGAGGACAGTGAGCTGGTGATGGTGGTGTCACGATGTTGGGGAAATTCCAGCCCAGGGGAGGTGTGTGCCTGTGTGACAGCCTGGCAGGAGGAGGGATGAGTTACAGGGGGAGATGTGGGGCTTTGGCTTTTGAGAGGCCGAGAAGAGGCACAGCCAAGGCTGTGCTGGGGCTGCAGACCCATCAGCAGTGCAGCCAATGCCATGCCCTGCTCTCCTTTCATCCTGGCACTGCAGAGACCCAGCTACCAGTATTACCAGTGGCAGAGCTGATGGAGCTTATGACTGGGTAGAAGCAAAGGGGCTGAATTTAATCCACCATATACTGTATTATACCATATACTGTATACCATATACTGTAATAACTGTAATCATGTTTTAAGTGCTTTGATTCATTTTTTTTCTCTTATTCTAAGCAGCCTAAATTGAGGTGCCTCTAAGCTGTCCCATCCCTGGCCAGGACTTTCCTGCAGCCTCCAAGCTGGCCATGAGCAGCAGGGCTGAGCAAACCCCACACAGACAAGCTCCACACCTAGATAAGCACATCTTTATTTTCAGTCCCACAAACACACATCTAAACTGTCCATATCTCGCCTGGACACACCACCCAAACCACAGCTCCTTCCAGCTTCCCTTCTCACCCTGCCAGGGACACACGTTCCCTCTGCACACTCGGGCGAGGCCGTTAGAGGGCATTTGGGTTTCATTTTCCATCCTTTCCATCAGAAGGATTATTGCTGGGATAAAGTACAGTCAGAGCTGCCGAGCAGCTCTCCTGCGCCGACTCCTGCATAGCTGGAGCAGCTCCAGCCCGTTGAGATGTTGCCCCAACTCGTCTTTGTGATTTGTTTCCTCTTTTCCCTGCTTTTCCCTTGGCCTCAGCTCACGGGGAATGTGCTTGGATGGCAGGCAGTATGTCTGGTGCTGCAGAGCAGTGTCTCCGGCGTCTGAGCTCCTCACTTGCCGAAGCTCTGCCAAACCACCAGTGCTTTGGAGAGGAGGAGGCCAGGCAGAGCGGGAAGGCTCGTGTTTGTTCTGGAGAGATGTGGGAAGGTGAATTAGAGCTGCCATCAGGAGGACCCTGCCCATGCCCAGGAAGGTTGCTGCTGGGCTCCAGGGTGGATATTGTGGGATGGCTGAGCTTGTGCACAGTCAAGCAGCTCAACTTAGCACAATGGTAGCTTGTGGTGTGCAGCCCAATGTACCTGCTCCTTCCCTGGGGGTCAGGGCATGAGGGTTCCCTCCAGGGATTTGGGATTCCAGATGCTGGAGATGGTCTTTCTTGCAGTCACTGCAGAGCAGAGCTGCATGATGTGGTGAAGGAGCAGCATCAAATCTCCAGAATATTCACTGATCTGGGAAAGGACCAGTTCCTGGTTTCTCAGGTGGGTTCACACTTGGGGCAGTTTCCCCATTTCCCATTTCATTCAGCCTAAGAAACTCGGGGATTCTTCCCAGTAACTCTGCCTGGGGCAGCAGGGTGTACAGATGGGTCAGGTGCTGGGTGACACAGGGATCTTGTTCTCTATTTCCACCCTCCTTTGCAGCCAAAGTCCATCAGTTCTTCTCCAGTTTCCCAAGGGACACATCCTCCACCTTCAGCGAAACCACAGTGCCATGAGCTTGTGCCAGACTCTTTGCCAGGATGAGGTGTTGGCTCCGGGATATGACCAGGGTGGGCACAGCTACAAATGACCTCCTCTTCCCCTCTGGAAAGACAGAGCAGAGAGCAATGGGGAGAAGGAGTGGGGTGGTGGCATGTTCCCCATGCCTGGGGAGCAGGAGCAGTGCAGGGAAAAAGGTGGGCAGATAGTGCCAGCTGCATGCCAGCAAGGCAAGGCAGTTTTGCACCATGTCCATGCTGGGACTGTGCCAGGCTAAGAAAGTGGTGACAGAACCACCTCTTGGGTGTGCTCAGGGAGCCAGGCAGGAGCTGCAAATTCATCTCTGGCCATAGGGACAGGCAGAGCTCACCTGTGTGGGATACACAGTGCTCTTGGATTGAGACATCCAGAGACCCCAAAATTCAGGTCTGCATCTGCCATGGGCTGTTTTCCAAGCAAAGTTTCAGGAGATGGTTTATCTGTCCCTGAGACAGGGTCAGCTCATGGCTGAGGAGGGGTGATGGGGTGCCCGCAGTGAGGGCCTCAGGGAAGCTGGGCAACAGGTTTAAATGACAAAGGGAAGTGCCAGCTGAGATGAGCCATGGGGCCCCCACTTACC